AGAGAAATATTACATTCAAAAAGCAGAGGAAATGCTCTCTATCTCTCTCTCACTTATTGCAATCGAAATATGTACGTTAGAAAAATTCGAAAGATACCTAGAACCCCTGCTGTTCGAGTTTGATTTTTCTCGCTCATTATATGTTTGGGGAATTCCCATAAGTTGTTTTTACAGGGTGTTTTCACTTTCCTCCATTTATTTTGAAAGCATAATTATTTGTACACAGTAATAATTATAAAACTTACAACAAATACAGGGATTTGTTTCTAAGAAAAATTTTTCAAGTACTTAGTTGAACCATTATAAAACCCAATTCAGTTGAATAGATATAATAGGTAACCAGCTACACTGTAAGTAGTTATGATAACAATTTTAAAACTCTTATAGAAGGACATAATACGCTTCGTACAATAGAAACTTGTGGACATACAAAAAAATTTTTTTCGGTTAAAATCTGAACTGGAATTTTAATTTGGCCTGATGTAGCCTGCACGTAAAATCTATTTCTTTAAAGTTTAGAGCAATAAATAAAAATTAAATTCTGAAAAGTGGGAGTAAAAATACCTGCCCAAGCATGAGCCAGGGTTCAGCCTGATTACTTACTCAGTGTCATTTTTGACATAGTCAGTAACGGTTTGTTCATTTTACATCTTTATTAAACAAATTGTGTTTTTTTTGTTTATCCAGTGAAAGTGATTATTTGTAAATCGTGTACTTAAAAATATATAGCAATATTTAACCAGAAATGAACAAAACAGAACCGTGTAAAAATTCGCACTGACACATACCTAACCTACAAGCTGAGTCTCAAATATCATGAGTCATGAGTCGACAGAAACGCCATTGCGCGTCATTGACGGGTACTATTAAACAAGGCGTTTAAAAGCATTTCTCGTGAGTGCCTTAACTGCGACTATAACGAGAAAATTTAAATGTCATTCACCAGTAATATTGTCCAAAGCACTAAATAAGCCTTGGATAAAAAGTTCTGTACGAAATTCACGAATAATACTATGTCGAAAACCCTTTTTAATTCATTCTCCAGGAATTCTATATTAGCAAAAGTCCTTTTTAAGGCTTTCGCCAAGAATTCTAAATGGCATTCAGGAGTGATGCTGGTGAAAGCCTTTTTTAAGGCTTTCGCCATTATTTCTCTATGGCATATACAAGTGATTCTGGTGATAGCCCTTTTAAAGGCTTTTGTCAGAAATTCTATTTGGCATTCACGAGTGATTCTGACGATAGCCTTATTTAAGGTTAAGGCCAGAAATTCTATATGGCATTCACGAGGGATTCTTGAAAAAGCCTTACTTAAGGTTGAGGCCAGAATTTCTGTAAGGCATACACGAGGGATTCTGGGAAAAGCCCTATTTAAGGCTAAGGACAGAATTTCTGTAAGGCGTTTACGAGTAATGCTGGTTGGCTACAACTAGATATTCTGGGGAATGCCTTACATTTTAAAAAGGCGTTTGCAAGTTATGCTCTAAATTGCCCTAAATAAGGGTTTCGTCAGTATTATTGGTAAATGCCTTGAAAAAAAATTTATAAATTATACTTTTATTGTAATATAAATATATTTGTAATAACTATTACATAAATAAAAGTTTATAAAAAGTTAAATATTCTTAAATTTTGTTCAATCGAGAAAAACTGGCCAGGGCCTTTCTAATCCCTTGTTTATAACAAGGCTAAACAAGGCTAAACAAGGCAATTTCCACACGGGATTATTTAACTTTTAGCCCCAGGGTGCGTTTTCGGCTTTAACAACAAATATAAAAAATCTGACTAAAGATATTTAGCAAATACCTTTATGTATCTCTTAAGGGGACCCAAATAATGAAGTAAAAAAATCGCGGCGAGAATAAATGCAAAAAATATACTTAAAAGTTAACATTTTCTTTTACGAAAAAATTTTCAAAAGTTGGGTGAAAAAAGAATTTAAATATGGACACCACAAAAAGTGAACAGAATGTCACATAACTCCAGACAATTTGTTTAGGGTGATTAGACCCTTCTATAATTAAAATTGCAATGCTCTAACTATTTCCGTTCGAAAGATAATGAATTTTAACTGTTTTCACTAGTTTAACTTTTCGCCTCAGTCTCCCCTATTAAATTTAATTAAATAAATTTGTTTTAAGCCTAGATTTTTACATCTAATAGCTTAGGAACAATTTTTTTCTATTTCTTTGTTAAGTTCAATAAATGAAGGGTTTGTGAATTGGAATAAATTTTCTACATTTTCTTACGACGTAGAAAACCTTTCTGGATTGGGAAAATTGATATCAAGGTAAATAGGCAGTTAGAAAGAAAAGAATACAGCTAATTAAATTTTACTTACACTACCGGTCAAAATTGAGAGACCACCCATTTTCAGGCGAATGAAAAACGTTTTAAAACATAAAATTTATTGAAACTAAAATTTTTTTCTGTTCATTTTTCGAAAGATGTTAAAATTTTAAAAAGAACAAGATATTTTAGAAGTCGTTTGGCCAATAATTTATTTAGATATTTTTAAAAAATCGTCATTTTCAATGTTTTACAAAAATTTGAATAACTTCTAAAATAATGAACGCTTTTTAATGATCTTAGGCTTATTTTAAAGGTCATTTGCTACACTACAAGAATTACTTATATGCATTAATGTATAATTTTTTTCTTAGAAAATGCAGGCCATCAAACTTGGACCAAAAAAATTCAAAAAATTTGAAACAATCTTATTAACAGAAAAATAATTTTTAAAATTCAAACGTATTTTTTTTATTAAATTTTCTTGAAAACTCTACACCATATGATGTTTTATATATTTTCTAGAATAGTTTTTAGTTCAGAAAAATTGTACCAAATTTTTTTGAATTTTTTTGGTCTAAGTTTGAAGGTCTGCATTTTCTAAGAAAAAAATTATACGTTAATGCCTATAAATAATTCTTATAGTGTAGCAAATGACCTTTAAAATAAGCCTAGGATCATCAAAAAGCTTCCATTATTTTAGAAGTTATTTAAATTTTTGTGAAACATTGAAAATGAGGATTTTTTTAAAATATCTAAATATAATATTGTCCAAATGACTTCTAAAAGATCTTGTTCATCTTTTCAAAATTTTATCATCTTTCAAAAAATAAAAAGAAAATAATTTTAGTTTTAATACATTTTGTGTTTTAAAACGTTTTTCAATCGCCTGAAAATGGGTGGTCTTTCAATTTTGACCGGTAGTGTACGTTTATAAAAATTAATTGTTAAAAATTATTGTTGAAGCTGGAACGAAGTTGAAGTTGGAATTAAAATTTAAACTTTGAAAACTTAAGAATTCGAAAGATTTAAAGTAAACTTGCAGAGGACTTGAATTTTGAACTTGAAGAATTGAAGAGAACTGAATTTGAGACTTGAAGATTTTTAAGAGACTTAAAGAACTCGGAAAATGAATATTTGATTCATGATTCTGAGAATTGATGTTTTGACTGAATTTTCTTTGAGGAACACATATATATTTATGTAACTGTTCCCACTACCAATTTTCTTCAGGGGGGAAAATTTAGGGATGGGAATATTCTAAAAAAGGGAAAAAGAGGTTGACTATTTTAGGATTTGTTTAAGATGAAGAAAATGGAAGGAGAATGCAAAGGGGAAAAAGGGGCTGAGACTTTTCCTTCGTCAACTTCATCTCCCCTTCCAACTCTAAATTTCTAGATTGTACAGAAATGGCTAATTTTCTTAATTTTAACATTTTCTTTAATTTTTACTTATTCCCAAGCAAAAATTTCTGTCAAATGCCAGTATTCACAACTGGCGCAGTATTGCACCAGTACTGGCACGCCAGCAGTTGGCTTGCCAGTACTGGTTTCATTAAAATTTCTGTACTACGCCAGTACTACCCTTTAAGACTGGTATGCCAGTACTATGCCAGTACTGTGCCAGTATTGCTAACATGGCAAACTGACTGATTAGTTAGGAAATAATTAATGGAAATTTATGCGGTAATTTTCCGTGTAGAAAAATTTCGGGGCAGTCTGGAGTCCAGTGATTGCCCCAACTAGACGCATCTGGGCGGTCTAATCTGGACGGTCTAACTGTATGCTATATGGGATTTTTGTGGACGGTCTAATGTAGACTGTCTAACTGTATGCTATATAGGACTTCATTGGCATCACTAGAATTCAAAATTTTTAAAGTACAAATCAGGGGCCGTCCATAAACTACGTCACACCTTTAAGGGGGGGGGGGTGGAATTATAAATTTGTGATGATTTGTGACGTTAGGGAAGGATGGGTGTAACAAAAATGTGACGTCACACTGCATTACTGAAAAAATTTTTTATCGGTTCTAAGGCAACGATCACAAATCGCTTGCTTATGCATGGTCGTCATGGTAACGTGAGACAGAAAGAGAAATATGTATAAGAATCCTCTCTCATCCCGTATCCTTCTTACGTGAACACTTGTCTTAGTTGTGCTTAGGCCTTATTCAACGCAAAATGCAGCATTTAAACTCAGTTATGTAAACATAGCCTTATACATAGCTTAACCCTGCATCATACAGAACTTGAGTACTTACCTTTAGGATGTATTGATTTTACCGACTACGTAAATGTTAGTATGTACAGGCAAAGTTATTTAGATCGATCAGCTCGATTTATGTAAATGACATAAACAAGTGAAATTGCTTAATTCCTTCTTTATTGTTAATTATTGTAACGAAAACGAATTTATTTTCCATGGAATAAAATATATGTTTACTAGAAAAAGGTATTGTATTTTGAATAAAATCTAACACTTTCCTCAATGATTATTTGTGAAATAGGTTAATCTAACCTCAAAATTTTTTATTTAGCTTATTGGAATCTGTACATTTTTATATTTATAGGTATAGTTAGTGGATCAATTCCTAAAAAAGAATAATAATTTAATGAAAATATTTTATTACTTAGATGTTTTAAATGGATTTTTTTTAGGTGAAATGGAGAAAAAAAATGATTTTCATAATTTATTTTCGAAATATAAAGAAGCATTTCCTAACACAAAATCAGGTGATTTGCAAAGACAATGTACAGTATTTTGGAATGCAATTAAAAAGGATGAAGATTTTAGAAGTAAATTAAATAGTAAACTTCACGAATTGTCTGACATAATAAGGAAAAAAGAGCCAAATTGGACATGTTTTGGACAAAAGTAATTACCATAAGTTTACTCAACATTTTGTTAATCATATTTTTAAATAATTAAAATTATATTTTTAATAATTTAAAAACAATCTTCTAAATTTTTTATCTTTAAAACAAAATTTTTTTTTGTGTAGGCTCGAGATGTAAGACATGACCAAACTGAACAAAATGAGGTTGTAAATTTACCAAAATCATCTTCGTCTAACCAAAAGGATCTAACTGACAATAATGAAAGCATATTATTAGATGTAACAGAAAATAGCAATGTAATTCAGGAAAAGAAAAGAGTGACTCCTGCTCAAGATCGACTAAAAGATCGAATCCGAATATTAAATTCAGAAATAGTAGCGCTTACTGTCAGAAACAATGTAAATTTTTTAAGTTACGATGAAAATGCGGAGCTGGTAAAGAAAAAAGGGAATTAATAGAGGTTAAAAAACAATTAGAAGCAAAAGAAAACATTTAAGAACGATCTTCGAAATACCGACAAAATAGAAAACGGGTACTAGAGGAATTATGTGAAAACAATGCAGCATTAAAAAAGCAACTTCGTCTTAGGGATAAAGAGGGCCGCCCTTCAATTGAAGAAGACCAACCAGAACTTTTGAAGACCATCGTCAATATTGCTATTTTTGGTAGTGCGGCTCATGAAAGACGACAGACTGAAGCAATAAGAAGCATTAAAACTTTAGATGAACTAACCACATCGTTGAAAAATGATTTTGGATTTACTCTAAGCAGGTCTGCAGTTTACTTACGCCTTATCCCTCATAGATCTGATACTTTAGAAGGAAAGAGACACATTTCTACAGTGCCTGTTAAACTAACAAAAGCACAAAATGAAAATCATAAAAAAAACAAGCCCCTTTGCTAATGCATTTAGAATACAGGGTATCATTACCCGATCACGATTGGGTTGTTGCTCCTGCACATAAACTCATACCATCCGTTTATGCAGGAGTTAACATCGAACCAAATAAGTTCGGAAAACTTGACGCAGTGACGTATTCTGGGCCTACTTACATTGCAATCCGCTCCGCAAAACATTCTTCATCTACAGCATATTCCCATGTTGTAGATGTCGAGAAACTTATGAAGTTACCAGAATTCGATGAAATATTAAAAATAAATAATTACTTAGGTGAACAGGTAATTAAACCTATTGGGATTTTTACTGTCGATGGTGGACCTGACGAGAATCCACGATATTCTAAAGTTATTTCGGCTTCGATTCATCATCTCATTAAATACGACCTTGATGCTCTTTTTGTAGCGTGTAACGCTCCAGGCCGAAGTGCCTACAATATTCGAATTTTCTATGTATTAATTCACAATATAAGGTTAAAATCACAAAAAGTTTTTATTTTTTATTTAAATAGTATAATTCTTTTAATAATATGTTGTTAACCTTATGTTTCGTAAATATTATACTAATGAATATCACTTGTTAATTTTTTTAAGGCTTATAAATGCTTTCTTTCAGAAATATATGCAAAAACGTCTCTGCTCCAGCGTGTGGGACAAAGGCATTATTTTGCATTGTTTTTAAATTTCATTAAATAATGTATTTATAATTATAATATACTAAATAACAACTATTAAAATTTCTTGTTGATTAGTTTTAGAATAATGAAAAACAAAGACCGCATAAATTAATTGCTTAATTTAAAAAATATACATCGATAAATGTAAACCTAGCGCCTTTGCCCCACTCTCCCCTACAATCAAGACTTTAGTGCCCGATTTGTCGGTCTTCTTTGAATTTATACATGGATTGTCACTTCAAAATTCAATGGAATAATTTAATCAATCTAAAGAATCGTTTAAAAATAAATATTGTAGGTTTATATGAATTATTATAAATAAAATTTTCAATGAATTTAATTAAAAATTCTAAAGAACTTAGATTTTTGAAAAATGCCTAATAATTCAAATTCTCCTGAAATTAGATAAATTTTTTAACATATTGTATTTGATTCATTATTAAAAATAATTTATCTGTAGAAAAATTTCAGTTAAAAACACTATAAACAATTGAGTGTTGGAGAAGTTACCCGAGTCGAACTTTTAGACCTGCTTACCTCCTTAAAACTGAGGGTTTGTAAGGATGTAATAGGATGAAAGCAGAGTTTATTTGCATTGCAAGTTAACTCTGATTACCTCCTGCAAACCCCTGGTTAGCGACAAATTTAGATGGTAAAAGGAGGAAAGCAAGTGTTCCTAGAACCTTATTAAATACTGCTTGACCCTTACTTACAGAATTCTTTCCTCTCCCAAAACCCTGGAAAAACTGCTCATAGCATATTTGAGATCATTAGATAACTATACAATACAGAAAAATCGGAATAAACGCAAACCTACGAAATAAATAAAATCTAACGCACGCGAGACTTGAACCTACGACCTACGGACTACGAAACTAACGCCCTAACCACTATGCTGCGGAACCTAACTGAACACAGACGCTTTATTTTCAGTGACTTGTTGAGTTATTGGTTTTGGTGATTCAATAAAGCATTTATTGACACTAATACACTACAGCAAATAAATAAATTGTTTAATAATAATAACCTAATTTAAACATTCATAAATTAACAAAATTCTACACAGAAATTCAATTATGTTCAAAAATTTTTTTAAATTCTCATCAAAATTTCAATTATTTATCTTTATAAATAATAAAATCGTTCTCTGAAATTCAATTATTTTCCAAATTTTTAACAAGATTCTTGGCAAAATAAAATGTAGGCAAAAATTTAATTACTTTCATAAATAGAAAACCTTTCACAAAAATTCAATAAGTATTTACAAATTTTTTATAAGTTTCTTCTCAATAATTCAATTATTTTTATAAATAATAAAATTCTTAGAATTTTTTTATTATTAAAAATTTCTTAGTTAATCTCAGAATTTCTTAATTATTTTTAATACAATTTTAATCGAATTCTTAGAAAAGTGTATAATTATACTTAAGAATTCTATTGAAATTCGTCAAAAGAATTCAATTATTTAAAAAATGTTTGATAAAACTGAAAGTAATACTTTAAAAAATTGTTTAATGATTATAATTGTAGTAAGAATTATTTATTTAAATATTCATATATAATAATTAAAATAATTCGGGATTATTATGTGTAATAATTTTAGTCATAGTTTTCACTTCGTCCTTATAAGCAACAGAATATATGACACTGGCATTGATATAGTAAATTAGGAGAGTTCACACCCAGACTTCAGTGGCCGTGCGGTTTAAATGCTTCGAGTCGGGTCGTCAAGGGTGGGGGGCGTAAGTTCGATCCCAAATGCGAGCGGATATTTTTCATTGTAAGTGTTATATAAAATAATAAAATTACTATATTTAATCTGTATAAGTGTTATAAATTAAAATTGTAAATATGTTTGTAAATAATGTTTAAGGCCTGTTAAAGAATGAATTTAAAAAATGTACCAATTAACGCAAATTGTTTTTTTATTAAAATTATTTTTTAATATTACTATTTTAAATGATATTTACTGCTAGTACAGTATATTATTTATTTGAAAATAATATAATTATTATAATAATAAGTTATTGTCATTAAATACATATACACACATATATATGAATAACAATAATATTTATTATTATTAATAATTCATATTGCTTCCTCATAGAGGAAGGATTGTATTAGCAAAATTTTCGATTGTGATTTTTGACATATTTATAAATTTTTTTTCGTTATACCTAAACTTTTAGTACTTTATGTACGAATGGGGACTGCCCGTATAAATGTTCTAAATAAATAAAAAAAAAATTCGATATATTTTGATCTCCGAAGTCTAAAAAACGGATTTTAAAAATTTGTCCCGATGTGTGTGTGTGTACTAACATTACATTTTCCTCAATATCTCAGAACGAGAAAGAGCTAATGGCCTCAATTTTTTATTAAATTGTAGGTCTCCCCGGGGGACATACAATGAGAGTATTTTCATCCCGATTCATAAAGTTTAACTATATTTTTTTTGCATTTTTCATTTTGTAAAAAAACGTTTTTTGGCCATAACTTAAAAAAAATGTTAGGGCACCTATAAATGTTTTTCTTTAGTTTTGTAGAGTTTTTTCAGACGCATCTTTTGAGCCTTCATTAAACATTTTTCGTTTATATTAGCCAGAGATATTAAAGTTTTAAAACTCTAAATTTTTCGAAAATAACACTTTTTTGAAAATTTTGTTGAAAAATATAAAAGAAACTTTAAAAGTTTCATTACCAACTTGTAGAGCATTAAAAAAGGCTTCGATTGACCTATTTTTTAACCTGATTCGGTCAAAAATTATCGAATTATTGGTATTTGAAAAATCAAAAATTGTGGAAAATATAATTTTGTCAACATTCTTGTTTATGTGTAATTATTAAACTATTATAACCATCTTATAGAATATATAAAAACATATTTTTTGGACGAAGATTTAATGATTTTTAACTCTTTTATAAAAATTAATTCTTATATTTCAATTATTATTATTTCTATGAGGAAGCAAAGTGTTCATGAAATGAACATTAAAATTATAAAAATGTACCACTTAGCAGCGGTTTTTTCACATTACATTCAATAAATGTGAGAACCGAGTAAATTTGGGTAAATTATTTAAAATTAAAAAACTGAAATATTGAAATCGAACCTAAAATTTTAAATATTAGCACTGCTCATTAGCCCTGATTAGCTCGTCCAGTCTGGACCAACGCGTGGTTCGATCTAGTGATGGTAGAATCGAGTCCGATTCCTGTGAAGAATCGATTCTCGACTTCCAAGAATCGATTCTATACTAAAGAAAATCGAGAAGAATCGATTTTTTACGTCACAATTCCAACGTCTGCTGTCTGCACAGTGACATATTTATTGGGCGTTTCAAGAGTTGCTGTGAGCATACTCAGAATGTGCCGTTATTGGTTGATCCAACAGCATGTTTATGCTGATTGGTTCGAAAAACTGAAATTACACCGAAAAAAATGCCTAGGACCCGTATACCAGGAATTAACTAGGTTTCCTAGTTACGAGAGGAACCCACTATAGAATCCTAGTCAAAGTAATAAAATTCAAGCATAGTTAACCCTTAAACCGCACCCTGGGTGTGCGACACCCATATTCTAGCTTTTTACTCTAATATTTCGTTTAAAGTCGTAAAAATTGAACATGTGTCGTTATTGGACGATACATTTTGTACTTAACTTTATGTTCCGTGAGGTACATTAGTCTCCCAAGTGTCTTTGTTTATTTGATAACTTTATGAAGTTGTCGGCGAAAAATTTCTGCTTGTTTGACACCCAGTTTTTGGTTTAAGGTAATTTAAGTAGTTTTAAAAAACAATTTTTTAATTATTAAAATTAAATAAATCATTATGAAACCTATTTTTCTTCAAAATAGATGTACTGAGCTATATATAAGATAATTTTTCCAAAAGATAATATCCTATTCCAGCTTGGAGAACACACTTAAAAGTCCCTGGGTGTCGCACACCCAGTGTGCGGTTTAAGGATGGATTCGGCAGTGTGCGGTTTAAGGGTTAAAGTGACCAGAAAAATTAGTCGATGTAATCAGGAAAAAATAGTCAAATTGACTAGGAGAATAATACTAGATTTACACTGTGTATCTTAATTATTTGAAATTGCTAAACAAATTCTTATTATCAAATAAAAGAGAAAAACTAATTAAAAGAAAAAAATTAATTATTGTATTTGAACATATTTACATTTGACTTTGTATTTATATACCTTTTTTTTTGCTTAGGGACTTTTGGGAAATCTGCCTACAGATACCTTGGATTCCGCACTCCAAGGTTATGTGGGGTTGGTACAATGAAACAAAAGGAAATATTTAAAAAAAGATGAATAAATAAATGTTATAATTTTAATAAACTGGCGACCTACTATCAGCCCGACCCACTAAAACCCGTAACCCTTCTTCTGGAGCCCTTTACCCTCCCTCGGAACTGTCGTAAGACTTTAGCCTTCGAGGGTGGCGCTCCAACTCTGTCGCTAATGCGACTATCTGCTTTTCTCTGCAGTTTTCCTGCGTCAATAGTTAAAAATTTAAAACTATTTCAATATAAAAGTGCAATTAACAGCACAACAATAATAAAAAAAAACAAATGTTTAATTAATTGTAAAAAGTCAAAAGATAAAATCGTAAACGGATATATAAAAAAAAAGAAAAAATAAACGCGTATATAATATTGACACTAGATTTTCGAGTCAAAATACAATACTTAATCAGATGATGTTTTACACATTTCAAGTACACAGTTTTATACACTTGTCAAAAACTATTTATTTTTAATAATTTATGCCATTTAAA